CTGGCAATAGCCTCCTGTTTTATATAGGCTCTGGAGATAATCATCTTTGTCAAGAGAAGTTGGGTAAGTTGATATCAGCTATTCCAAATCTCAGTAGTTTCAAATGCATTTGGAAGGAATCATGTTGCCTGTGCTACTATTGTTGAGTGAGAACATAAAAAATGAAATGTATTTTGATTACAATCATCAAACTCTCATACAAATAAACCTGAGCTTAAAAAGTGGTTATAGCAATTTAACAAAGTGTGTAATTCTAACAGAGGCGTATTTTCATATTAATGGATTGTGGAACATTTCTTTAAACTTGGTGTATCGTGGTGTGCTTAAAATGAGAGGTGACCTTTAGATGGTGAGACTGAACAAAGGTAAGGAAATTAATAATCAAGAAATTTCCTTTAAAAAAAAAAAAACAAAAAAAAACCCCAAAAAAACAAAACCAATTCTTTGGTCTCTTAAATTCCATTTTGCTCTTTTTAATGTGAAGGTGAGGGAAAACTACTTCATATCTGTTTGCACTCTATTTGTACAGAAAAAAAGGAAATCATGATTGCCTACCGCATTAAAATGAGTTCAAATGAAGCATTGCTCATAACCATGTTGTTTTAAAATTACTGCTAATCTAGAATAGCACAGAGGTATTTGATATAAGGTCTTCATGAGTATATAAGTGGAATCTGAAGTGGATTAAGCTTTATGGTTCAGCCATCCAAAGAACTATGGATCAAAATCCTGAGTAAAATGTATTCTAGTATTGTTCAGTTTAAAATCAACACAAAAAGTGGATTACTGCATTCAGTACAGGTTAAGGAGAATTACAGCCTGTATCAGATAAATGTTTGAAAGGCAAACATTAACTGAAAGTTAGTTTATGGAATTTTTCTGCTTGCTCATGGTTGTGTGACACCTGCTCCTTCAACGCCTGTGAATTTTGCTATCATTTTTGTGGAACTTGTGAGTGATTTTGAACTGGAGTACGGGAAAGTTTTCCTGTTTATAATCCAGAACGTATTTCAGTCATCACAGTAGTGTTGCTTGCATTGGCAAACAAAAAAAGATACAGCTTCAAAGTAATTAAGTCCTGTCCTGATAGATTAAAATTTTTAAATGAGGTAAGCACAGTAACACAAACATGGCATATGTCCAAGAGCTAATATTACTATTAAACACAGTGCTGGGAGATAAGATGGCTCATGCAGAAGTTCCAGGAGTATTTCTCACAGATGTCTTTAAATTTTAATTGGACAGCACAAATGTGTTAATGCTTGAAAAGATCTTGGAAAGCAGTGAAAACCTAATGCTTCAAATTTAAACCAGTCTTTTAGCTGTTGAGAAGTAGTGGAAGTCTTCCCAATGCACTGTTCTTAGTAATAAAGTTTCTCTACAATTTCTTCTTAAGCACTTATGATGATCAGGGGATACCACAGAGATAAACCTGGAAATCAGTCAGAACATTCTCCTATGAAAGGAGAATTTTCCATTGATTCCATAGCAATTTTACTTAATATTTCTATTCTAGAACAGAATTCAGTTTATGATCCATCCTTCCAGGTTTGAATGATATTCGAATCACTAGATATTTTTTCTTGGTGGAGTCTGTAGCATGTAATCCCAGTCTGTAGCATGCAACAGTTAAATTTGCATGAAATGGTCACGCTAATGCCTGGTCTGAATTTGTGCTGCAAAGCAGTGCTGTGCGTGGAGAAGATTCTGTGTGCTGTTAATGTGTAGGAGCATCTCAGTGGAGTGGGCAGCAGAGAGCTGCAAACTCAGATGAGTTTGCTGAGCAGATGAGCAAAAAAGCATTTCTCAGTGTCTGTCAGATGCTTCTGAGCACAACTCTATGCTGCTTCTCTTTTTTTTTTTTTTTTCTTCTTTTTTTCTCTTTTTCAATAGTCCCTTTTTTCCTCTCTCCCAGTGTGTTTTGTTAAGACAGTTCTTTCATTTGTCAGACTGCTCCTCCCTGCTCTGCCCGTTGGAAACATGCTCTCTCTAGCTCTGCGTTAGCACCCTGCACCAAATCCATTGCTAAACAATTTTCCTACCACCACAGACAGCAATGGGACATAAATAAAGCAGTAGTGAAATCTGATCCACTTCATCAAAAACACTGATTGATGTCTCCAGGGGGAGGTAAGTGGGGCAGGGGCTGTTCTCCTCTCCCACCTCCTGTACTTGAGATTCTCTCTTGCTGTACAGCCAAAATCTCCATGAAAGGCAGAAGTTTGGGCTCTTCTCCCAGTCTGAGCCGCAAAGACCCTCCAGCCAAGGCCAGCCTTATGTTGCAGGGGCGATACAGTGGCATCAGTGGTGTTAGCTGTGTTTTTGTCCCTTGAGTCAGCACTCACAGAGATAGCATGGGCAGTGCTGCCTGGTCATACTCTGTGTGCAGGAAGAGGTCACAAGAACCATGTAGGCTGAGGTCCATGGTCCTCAAACACAAAATTGTCATTGCAAAATAGATCTCACAGAGCTAAAGTGACCTCAGTCACACAGTCCAATAATCCTCTCAACCCACTTCCTCTGACTGAGTGCATCAGCCACTATAGCCCTTCTGCTCCAAAATGGATGTAGTTACAAACCTCCCCTGAGGTTGACTGCCTTGCTCTCCATTCCATTCTTGGCTGTGAAATCTTGGGAATGAGATTTGGACAAGGCTTTCTCTCATCCTCAGCCCATAGCCTGCACGTGCTATGAGGAAACTGTGGATCAGTATAAGTTTGGAGTTCAGCAGATAGAATTAGACAAATGAACTTAATAGCTAAGTGGTACCTAGAAACTTTGCAGAGCTTTCAAATTTGCAATGCTTGTGCTTGAACACTTCTGATACACAAGCAAGCAAATACAGATGTTTCAAATACAGAATAGTTTGGTATCATTTCATCATTCCATGGAAGGATTTCTTTTTAGAAATGCTAAGTATAAGTTAACTATTTTAACTGTGTTAATTCTCTAATGAATTAAATATAGGTAAGATGTTAAACATGATGGTAACTGTTGATCAAACAGTGTTACCTTCAAGATAATGGTTCACTGTATACTTGTAGGATTAACTACTAAGAGAAGAGCTAGCTGATATGAAAAAAGAATTGGACCTCTTTCTGCTAACTCTCATGCTCTTATTTTCTGATAGATGCACAGTTGTTTGGCATTTTTCATTATCGAAAAAAAAAAAAAAAGTGGGAGGGGTGAAGGGCCACACTGGGCACATTCCTCCTTATTTTCTAGCCCCCACTAAGGCAGCACAGGATGTATCTTGGTTGGAGTAATTAAATGTAGAAATAGAAAATTGGAACAGTTTGCCCAAGGAGGTTGTGGATGCTCCATCCCTGAATGCATTCAGGGCCAGGTTTGATGTGGTTCTGGGCAACCTGATGTAGTGGCTGGCAACCCTGCCCATGGCAGGGGGTCTGAAGACAGATGACCTTTGAGGTTCTTTTCAACCCAGGCCGTTTTGTGATTCTGTGATAAGATTAAGGATGACTGGGCAAGCAACAGTTCTGCAAAAAAAAGCTCATCTTACGACTGGTCTGAAGTTGAATCTAAGTAAATTTTATCTTGATTCACCAAAGAAGACTTGGGAACCTAATGTCTCAGTGTGCTGTGGGTACAGTTTATCCAGGAAGAGAACTGTGTAGGCAACCTCACTGAGTATTGGCCTTACGTTGCTCCAGGGGCAGTTCAAGTTAGATATTAGAAAAACTTTATTCTCTAAAAGAGTGGTGAGGCACTGAAGCAGGCTGCCCAAGGAGGTGGTGAAGTCACCATCCCTAGAGCTGTTAAGAAACATGGAGATGTGGTACTGAGGGACGTGGTTTAATGGGCATGGTGGTGATGGGCTGATGGTTGGACCAGATGATCTTTGTGGTCTTTTCCAACCTGAGTGATTCTATGATTCTTTGAGTCCCAGTAAAGCGCAGCAAGGATTGGAGCAAATCACATACTACAAGCAGTAACAATACCAAAACAGAATTTCTTTCTCCTAGAGCAGCCGAAACCACTGGAAATTGGAATCCATGATGCGGTGGCTCTGTTGGCATGTGCCTGCAAAGTTGAGCCTGGGAATTCTATGTCTCTTTCTGGTTTGGAACATAGGTAAGGATGATGATTTGGTGCTCCCTGGGGAACAAAAACAGTATCTTTTTTTTCAACTTCTCCCATGGCCTGAGAGATTTCTCCATTCTTGCATCTAGAGCAGGCCTGGTACTCTGTTCTCTCACACTGCACAGGCAAGTGTGATGGGCTGGACTGATCAGCTAGATTGTCAGTCTGAATTTAGCACATATTAAGTGAGATGTTAATGCAGCTGATTAGAACTGCATGGGGAGCCATGACTTAAGGACCTTGTACCATGGATTATGCACAGATTATTTTTCACTTCTGCTTTTTCTGGTCCTCCAGCCTTCCTGTTGCTGAAGAGGAAACTGGACCCAACCTTCCTACTGTCTGGTGGGAGCTCTGAGTTGTAGGGCTGATAGGAGTACCACCACTGAAGCAAACCCTTGTTCATTATCAAGCGAATTCCAGAAAGGAGCCTTAACTGCTGAGCCCCACTCCAGACTGTTCCCCCAAAAACAGCCCTGAACATCTGCTCTTCATAACGAACTTACATATAGATCTCTTTTGAGTTAGCCTCATTTTACTTCATCCCTGTCAGTCAGTGTTGAGTACAAGCCCAGATCAATCTGTGAAATCAATTTTCTACTAATTTTTAATTTTTGATTCTTGAGTTAAGGGGGTGACCTCTGATAATTAATTCATTTTCCCCATTTAGCTGGCATTTAATGGACCAGGAAGGTCTTTTGGGAAATGCTTATTGCTAGGCACTTAATCTCCTGCTGTTATGGATACTCGGTGTGCTGCTTTGCAGTGCTTGTGTCCATTGGTTTCTGTGCCATAATGAATAAGAGCAGCAAAGTAACCCCAGCAGAGAGCTGCACTGAGAAACACTTGGTAGTTCAACAGGGATTTTTTTTTTCTCAGACTCTTTCTTTGCTTCACAGCTTCATGCATAAGAAGAGAAAACTTCATGCATAAGAGAGAGAAGCAAGCAGCAGTGCTGGCTACTGCAGGTAATATCAGCACATCAGGAACCTTTGACCCTGTTCGTGGGCACTGGTGAAAGAGGGCTGTATGAAAATGAGTTTGCATTTACCCTGTGGAGTCCACATACCAAAGCCACCTCTGCTACAAGGACTCTTTGTCCCAGCATGTGCAGATCCTTGGCCAGCTTAACCTCTCTCTTTCTGGGAATGTGAAGAGGTGGTGCCTCTTTTTAGTTACTCTCTTTCCAGAGCCCTTCAACCAAAGGTGTGTTCCTCTGTTATCTCTGGGGGTGTGAGTCTCTCAGTGCTCTGCTCTGTCGTTGCCACTTCCATTTGTTCCGACACAGCTTCACACAATCTTTGTTTAGAACTGGTTAAAAATAATACTGATGTCATTGGAAAATTGTATTTCTTTCCAGATTTGATTTTGCTCTCATTCTGGGTTTCTTTGCTTCTTTTTCCGTCCTGCTCTGTTTTTCCTCTCTGTCATGCATTCACAGACGACCTTGCACACACACAGGCACCATGTCACTCTGCTTCTTCATCACTTCATGGTAGGGAATGAAAAGAACATCTTTGAGATCCAGACCTGGGAAGAGCAGGCAAGCAACATCAAGGGAAAGGAAACATCTTTTAAATAAAAAGCATCATTCGGCAGCTTTAATTTTATCTGCAGTATTAGTATATTAGTCAAGGTAACTGAAAAGAAAAAAAAGAAAATCATGTAGCACTGTGGAAAGGGAGGAGGATTTCCCAGGTATTTTCTCCTCCATTTGTGTGCTCTGTTTTTGCCTTGGAAGGAAGCATGCATCACCAGCACAAGAGGGCACCAGGATGCTGCTCCCTTCCGCCACCTCCCAAGGCATAAGCTGGCACAGAGCACTGCCTAAATTCTGGGTACCATTGCACTCCTCACTCCATCTTGTGATTTTTCCAAACTTCTCTCTGCTCTCCTGGCATATTCATTTCCTCAGTACATAAACTGCTCATTTTGTTGTCTCACTGTGGAAGCTTTTTGCCTCGTACAAGCAAGTGATTAGCAGCCATTTCCAGAGACTCTTTGTTTTCCAGAGTTGCCTGCAAAGTCCGTGGATCTGGCTGCTGTTAACCTGACTGAGCTGGTGAATGGGATGCTGAGCACAACACTCAGAGGTGACGTTGCAGTAGCTGGGGAGGTGACAAGCTGCCAGTGGCAGTGAGGGAGATAAAGAACTGGTGGTGGTCGAAGAAGAAGCTACAAATGCATGCTGTCTGCATCCAAAATTAATTCTCAGAGCAAGTTACACTTGCGCATCTTAATGCAGACATCTGCCTACCCCAAAGAATTTATAAATTAGTGTGTTCATAGATAGGCACAGCATAATGACTTATGGGATGCCTTTAAAAAGCACTATATAATCCAGTGAAGGTTTGCTTGCTTGCTTGATTTATTTATTTTAAGAAAGTAGTGCTGATGAACCATCCCTCAGTGTTAACGAGAAGGAATTGAGTCTCAGGCATCTGCATCATATCCATATCTCAGGAGTCTTTTTGAAATCAAATGAGCAGAGCCAAAACATTCTGTTTGCATAATTAGTTCTAACTCCTAATCACATGGGCACGTGTTTCTGCAGGTACCAAAAAGCTCTTCTCTTTGCTGAGTGTCACATCCCACAGCTCATTTGCCTTCCACAAAGTGTCAGTCACCATTTATAACAGTGAGTGCATTTGCCTGGTGCGGGAGCTGTCCCTGTCATGTGGCTGCACGTCCAGACACCCATTTTCTGTTTCTTTACAGTTTCTAGCTTGAAAAATGTTGACCCTGGCAAGTTCCCTATGCATTACTGCTACTGTTTAAACAACGTGACAAATGACTTAACAGGTTGGTATGCAAGAGAGGCTGGCAATCAAATAAGTATACCAATGGCCTCTTAAGTCTACTCCTATTCAGCAGAAAAGTTCTGAACTTTTAAGTGTTTCAAACATTTTCATGTTCAAGCATATTATCATGTTAATTTTTGCCAATGTAAATTTGGAATATGTGTTTCAGTTATAATTTTTCTATTTTGTTGTCTAGATTTCACTGCTTTACTTGTTGATATTATTGGAAACTCAACCAGTTATCTCACAGAAATTTTCAAATCTACTTCTATTCTCTCAGGTTTGCGTTTCTTCTTCAGTATTTATTGTTGCCTTATTTGCATTATTTAGTCCTGGCATGGAAACAAGCATAGAAATGTATATAAAATCCTATTGCTCTAATTCAGCATCATTTATCTAGCAAAGCATAACCAGTGGTTGTAAAAAAAAAAAAAATCCTCCTTAGAGAACAAAAATACAGTTTGTATATGTAATACAGACACATAGGAGCAATATGATTTTCCAATATGATTTTCTATGAGTATCTTTTCTTTCTTTCCTTGAATTTTCTGTACGTTATAATTGAGTAATTGAGTGCTGGTATCTAGGGAAATTTTGAGCCCCAAGAAATTATAATAGACAATATTTTCTGAGATTTATTTTATTTGTAAACGTATGAGTAATTCAAAATTTTAATTATATAGAAACATTTATCCAGGAAATACTGATATTTTGATTTCTTTGTCAAAATGAAATTTGAAAGAAAATTTTCATTCAGTTGTAGTAGCCACATACCATTTCAGTTTTACATTTTCAACTACTTAAGATTGTATCATGTAATGAAAGCTAGTAACAATTATCTATTCTGCATTTCTTTGTCTTTCAGTGCGTCAGAGCAATGATTCAGACTGTATCTACATCTGTGTGATGACAGGTCAAACAGGTAAATTCAAAAACCATTTCATCTCAATTATTGCCTTATTTACTCGCAGTGATGTCACATGAGAAAAAAGTCCATCTTCATGTTTTTAATTCTTTATGTTTGCAGGGAGAAATCTGTCTGACTTTTGGGAAATACTAGAGAAATCTCCTGTTATTAATTACACCTTTTCCAGTAATACATCTTCTGACCTGGGTAAGCACATCCTGGGGAATAAAAAGAAATAGTAACTACAATCCAAACCATGTCTAGGTATAGGTAGCATTTGCAATGAATCAATGAATGTTCCTTCTCTGTCTTGCAAAACTAAGTAAAATCTACAGACATATAAATATCCAATGCAAGGAACAACAACAAAAAAAAAACAAAAAAAAAACAAAAAACCAAAGCTGGACTGGTGAAGCTGTGTGATATTTTTGGTCCAAATGAGTATCCAGGTTGCCCATCCGTGTCAGGCTGGACAGGACTCTGAGCAACCTGCTCTAGCTGTAGGTGACCCTGTTCAGTACAGGGAAGTTGGGTGCCCTGTCCCTGGAGACTTTCAAGGCAAGGCTGGACCAGGCCCTGGGCTGCCCACTCTAGCTGTTGATGTCCCTGCTCAGTGCAGTCGAGTTGGACTAGATGATTTCTAAAGGTCCCTTCCAACTCAAATGATTCTATGATTCTATAATCTGCCTTAGCTCTCAGAATGGAAAATCTGCTTTTATGTGAGTAACCTTCAGAAAGGAATCAAATATACTCATCCATTGTGCTGCCTGGATACTCCACCTATCACTGACAGGAAGCCTTTGGAATCAGTGGCAAGTTTACCTGTGCTGAAAGCTGCAGGATGTTTCTCACCTGCTATAAAAAAAACATAAAACTAAAAGATCAAAGGTACTTTACTAAAAAATAACTTTCTTTTAAAAGGAGAACAGTTGTTTCTTTTATATTATAACCCAATGTATTTCCTTTTTATCATGCAATTTGCCACTGATACTGACTGTACTAACCCTATCTTCTCACGCCTCAAAGATCTAGATTCTGTTTTTTCAAGTTTCATGAAATCACAGGAAGACTCAAACAAAACTGTGGATCCATTAGCAGAACATCCATGGACATTTAAAAGTGAGTAAATATTGTCAGACTTAAATTTATATTATCCTTTGTTAATGTCTTGACAAGTGGCAGCATGTCTTTGCTGCAAACCACTGTGATGTTAAACTATAGATAAAAGTTTGTCTTAACAAGTAGATCAGGCCTGTAATTCTCTCAGTAGAAAGGACCATTAATCACAGAATCATAGAATGACTCAAGTTGGAGGGAACATTAAAGATCATTTAGTTCTAAGCCCCTGCTGCCAGCAGGGCTGCCACCCACCATCTCGGGCTGCTCAGGGTCCCACCCAATCTGACCTTGAGTGCCTCCAGGGATGGGACCTCCTCAGCCTCTCTGGGTAGCCTGTGCCAGTGTCTCACCACCCTCAGAGTAAAGAATTTTCCCCTGAAATATAATCAAACCTCCTTTTTTTTTTTTTCTTTTTTTTTTTTCTTTTAAGTTTAAAACGATTCCCATTTGTCCTATCACTACCCAGCCATGTCAAAAGTTTGATTTCCTCCTGTTTATTAAGCTCCCTCTAAGAATTGGATGGCTGCTATCAGGTTTTCCCAGAGCCTTCTCTTCTCCAAGCTGAAAAAGTCCATCTCCTTCAGCCTTCATAAGAGAGCTGCTCCAGCCCTTTTATTTCCTGTTTGTTTGTATATGTAAACTTGCATATTGAAATGTTCTCAGTTAAAATATCCAATTTTATTGGCACTCCACATATTTTTCTGGAAAAAAAGCTATAAAAGGAAATTTTTAAAATGAAGTAAAAAATCAAATCTGACTTGCTAGTGGAAGAACTCAAAGAGTAGGTGGGATTTCCTGTGTATGTTTTTGATTTTATTGGATTTTCTGTGTGTATTTTGGGATTTATTGTCTCCCGGGATGTTATTCTTGCTGGTGCCCTCCATCTTCCTGCTTTTTCAGGTACCAGCACTCCTCTTGCCCTGAAAGGAGAGGACAGTCCCAACACGTGGCCCCCACCATGGACAAAGATGATTAGTACGAAGGCATCGGGGTTTCCATCACTGCATGTAGACACTTCAAGACCACAAGGCACAGCTGGAGTCCCTCCTGCTTCTGAGGGGACCTTAGTCACATCACCAGCCTTGCAGCCCAGCTCTGGTGAGTTCAGCATGGAGGACCAATACCAGCTTTACTCCATTAGCTCTGGAGTTTGTCCAAAAGTGCATCCCAAAACATGTTTCAGAGATGGAGGTTGGGATGACCTTCAGGGTGATTTGCTCTGGGTCACTAGTAAGGAGATACCTGTATCACAGAAATGCTAAAAAAATTTAGAGGGACTGTCCTGTAGGTTCTTAGTTCTTCTGGGGAATACCAAGTCCTGCCAACCAATTCTTTGCTCGCATTTTGCTCCAAACCTAGTGAACTGACCTATGAAAAAAGCAGTACAGAACTGCTTCTCTGGGTCTCCAGTACATTAACCATCTTTAAATCCTATCTTTTCTTGGCCAATATATTTTCCAAGATCTAGTGAATACATATGTTGTCCTTCCTTTTTCATCTTGAAATCCTTATATGTCTCTGGAAATATGGGGTAAGGACCTGACTGTTCAGCAATCTTATTCCTGACTTCTGAGTAAACAGATGAAAAACAAAGTTTCTGAATGAAATGAAACACTTATTTCTCTTCTGTAGCTGATGTGAACATGCTTTGGGTGCAGACTGTGCCTCCTCAAGACACCAACAGTCAGATACAAACAGAGCAAGGTGAGATTGATTTGGGAAAATAACAAAGTGTGTAAGTTGGCATGTTTCTGAAATAGAAAATAGCATCTAGTAAAATAGGTGACTGTGAATGCAGAATGTGAGTTCTACAGAAGTGTATATTACTGGTTTGTGAATTCAGCTTTTTTTTTTTCCACTTGATTTTTTTTTTAATTTATTTTTTTTTCCTGTTAATACATCAAAACCTCTTATATTCTTCTCCATCCTATAGATTTGCCTTCTTCAGTTCTGTCTACTCCACCCTACCGACCTGGCCTGATACTGAAACTTCATTCGGCTGCTCGTAAGTGACTGCACATCATGCAGCAAAAATAGTAGCCTCAGTGTTCGCCAGTATGCAATTTTTCATCCAGAAAAAAATGTGCATCTTTAATATATATTATAGTACATTTTATACATGTAAAACATCCCAAAGACCAAAGAGATTGCTTCCATATTTCTGAATCCTGCATAATTTCGCACTGAACAAATTCTGCTATGCTGACAGAGTTAACTTGCATATTCTGTATGTTCTCCATTTTAACATGGAGGGGCTACTGAAGAATCATAAAATTCATTTGTTCCAAAAGAAATGGGCAAGCTTCAAATTTACTTGTTGGTAGAAATAAAATGGTTAAGTCAATCCTCGTCATATGAAATATACAGAATTTCCCTGAGTTTTCAATGGTGAAAACTCCCTCTTGGACTAACGAGGGATCATTATCAGCTCAATTTTCAGGAGAGTTCAGTTCTTCCATTTATATGCCTAATCAATTAGAATATGAGAGCTTAAAGTAGTACACGTATGATGATGTGCCACTCCATTTATAAATATAGTGTAGTCATGTGATCAGTAAAATTATATTTCTGTAAGTATTTAAAAAGAGGTTACATCTTTTCAAAATCAGGACTTGATCCAAAGTCAGAGAGGCTGTCTGGACTCTGGGAGAGCCCTCCCTGATTTTGGTTGCTGAGCATGTGAGTCTAAGTCCAACCTATCCACTTACACATTGCATCCTGCAGACTTCCAGGGCCGCTGGCATCCGCTCCTCCCAGTGATCACACTGGAAACCAAATCATGTGGCATTGGTTGCGTGAAGAAAATGAACCAATATGTTGTTCTTTTCACTCTCGACGGTGTGAGGGGAAGAATTTAAGATAAATAAGGTCTTCTATTTTGATGAGGATCAGAGGAATATGATAGTTCTGGTCCATCAAGAAATAATTCTTCAAAAACAACAAACAAACTTGTCTGTGTTGTTTGTTTGCCTTGGATGAGTTTGGTTTGAGGACTAAATAATGACCACCTAACTGGAAGTTGCTGGAGTCTGGTCAGTACACATCACAAGTCCACTCACAGTTTGTTCATCTGCTATTTGCTACCTAGTGGACAACCCTATAAGCCCAGATAAATCTATGAGTGGGAATCCATCCTTTTTGGATGGAAAAAAGCCTGGAAAACACAGATTTCAATGACAGCAAAGAATGGAATGCCTCTCTATCAGAAACCATGGCAGATGCTGTCCACCTGCACATAGCAGTTGTGGCAGTTTGAGAAAAAAATCGGGTAGTGGGATCACAAAACAATGAATAACATCCACAATACCCTGAAGGTCAAGAGATTACTCGAGGAAGCCATTTCTTAAATCACAAAAGTGGATTTATTTATATATTTACTTGTTCATTTTCATTCTGACTAATAAAATCTGAGAGCATGTTATACCATGAAGAGGGGGATATTTTAAGCCTGTGTTACTCACAGTAGCCACAATACTGCTTTTCACTGACAGCAAAATTTAACCTCAGCGTTGGAGAAAGCTGATATCCTCTTCCTAGGGGAAAGGGCTCATCACTGCAAAGGCTGGTCACTTACCTGCCTGTAACAGCAGTGCAGTAATTTCAGAAGGACAAAACCAAAGCTCTGCAGACAGCTGCGGTTTCTCCTATCTATTGCTTGTTTTGAGCAAGTCAATTTCTTAAAAACAAAAAATCTTAGAAAATGGCGTATTAAATTTCTAGTTGAAAATGTCTTTGTATCAATCTGAATTTTTAGGAATTTACGAATTGAATCAATAAAATAAATCTCTTTACAAAGAGATGTAAGAAATTTCTATGAAGTACTGAAAATTCTGATTTCAACAATGTAACATAAATATGCTATCCAATCCAAATAAAATTAAATCAGTCTTTACTTGAAAGAGAATTTCAGCATTATATACAGTTATATGTAAATATAGCATTAATTTAAAATGAAATTATTATTAGAAATGAATATCAGAGTAATTTGTTTAACTTTCAACTTTTTATTTACTTTTCTTTCCTACATAAATGAATCCATGTTGAAATTGCTGTCATTTGATTTACATTTAGATAGAACAGAATTTCTGCTGGCGAAACACACAGCTTGAGTAAAGCACTAACAATACCTGCTAGATGGGATGGTGAACACCCACTTGGTGGAGACATTAAAACACATTGGAGGGTGGCTATTAGCAATTTTAATTATTCCCAGCAACACTTAACATACTTCTTACTGTACATCTATACTGAAATCTCATTACCACATGCTCTAATGTTCACTTATTAACACAAAGAGTGCTTTACTAAAGCAAGACATCAGTCATTTTTAATTGCCATAAGGGGTGTCAATTGCTGGTGATGTTTGTGCAAAAATAGTGTAGCCAGCAGGAGCAGGGAAGTAGGTGATCGTCCCTCTGTACTCAGCACTAGTGAGACTGCATTTTGAGTACTGTTTTCAGCTTTGGGCCTCTCATTATAAGAAAGATATTGAGGCCCTGGGTGTTGGATATTAGGAAAATACGTTCTCATAAATAGTGGTGAGGTATTGAAACAGGCTGCCAGGGAGGTGGTGGGGTTACCGTCCCTGGAGGTGTTAAAGGAATGTGTAGAAGTAGAATTTAGGGATGTGGATTAATGGGCATGGTGGTGACAAGTTAATGGCTGGACTAGATGATCTTAGTGGTCTTTTACAACCTTGATGGTTGTATGATTTTAAGTGAGATGCTAAGTTGAAGAGAAATGGGGCTCCCACCCAACGCTGACTGATTTCGGCTGAGAACTGTGCACTCTGTGACACTGAGACCATAGCCATTTTTCAAAGGCAACCAAGACTACAGTAGCTGCAAGGCCTACCTATTTATCCTTCAGGATTCCTGCTACTTTGAGCAAGCTCTGGTCAAAGGCAAATTGTTTCATATCAGATCTCTTTGAGCTTGGCTGTGCCTTTATTTTCTTCCTGCCCACGAATGCCATTTTATATTAAACTTCTTGTCAGCACTAGACAACTGAATCTCATTTCAACAGAACTTCATTAGTCTAAATTTGACCCCAGTAGCCTCCCCTATCATGTAACATAAGATAGCTCAAAGCTATAAAGCATGTGAGACATGTGAACCTGGAAATACAATTACACTGTCTAAAGGGATTATACTCTGCACATACAGCAGTTTATCTGAACACGTGGCCAAAGCCTGCTACTGATTTCACAAATGGAATAGCCAGCCAGCATCCCCACTGCTGCTGCTTCTGCTCCCCTCATTCGCTCTCTCCTACCCCAGTGGGTGAAAGGCAAAAGCATGAAAGCACAGTGTGCTCCTCCAACATCACTTCTTCAGAGCAGTGTTATTCAATTCACAAAGCAGTGACGATCACACATGAACTGTAGCTGTGCCCAGCCGCCTTTTAGCACATTTTACATGTTGCATTTCTTTTTCTGTCAAGTCCTTTGATTTTTACTGACTCTAACACAACTGTTAAGTAAAGGCAAAAGACATAATAACTCTGTTATGTGTAACAGAGTATGGTTTCAGGAAGACAAGATTATGGTTAATGTATGGTTCTTTCTTCATATGAAACAGAAAAACACTAGAAAAAAAAAAAATTGAAAGCAGCATCAATATTGCCTTACCTTTTCTCATTTTCCCTCATTTTCATCTTTTCTTTTCTGTGACAGAAAGGGAGTCTGAAAGGCGATTGTGTTTCACACTGAAAAACCACATAGAAATACTTACAAGCTGCCATCACCTATTCTCTTGTATTAATCCATCTGCAGCCTGGCACAGCTGCGTTTCCTGGTGGGATGAAGTGTTTTGTGTGCAAATGTTTACCTCTCACTGCTGACTGCAGAAAGTTCAGTGAACAGAACAAACCAGGTATTTTCCTCTCAGTTGTCACTGGAGAGGGAAGAAACAGTCCATAACTCAATAAACTATTTTCCTGCATTTTTTTTAAGTTCAAGCAATACAGGTGTTGTCACTTGAAATAAAAAAAAAAAAAAAAAAAAGATTAACCAGCTGGCAGCTGATAAATAAGAGTAAAATGGAGGATTTTTTCCTACCTTCTCTTAGTGCAGGCAAAAAATGACCTTTGTTTCTTTCAGATTCTTGGCAGTTTTATAACTTCTAGGAAAGTATTTACTCAGAGGATTTCTTTTCTAAAATCATGGCTGAAATTAGCTGATTTTTCAAGGCAGTAGAAGCAAAAGTGGAAAATGCAAGATAACTATGAGAGATGGACAGCCCCTGCATAAATTGTGTTTGTTTTGTTGTTGGGGATAAGAAAAGGAGATTAAAAGAACAGGATGAGTGAGTGTTACTAGGTCTGTTGTTTTAAGTCCAAGATTCAGATATAGAGAGTGGGTGTGGGAAACTGTGGAACTGGAAATGACTCCTGCATTAGCGTTTGTATATAGAAAAGATCAAATGTAATAAGTGTGTTGTACTTTTCTTCATCTCACTGCTTTCTGCTGTGGAAAACTGATGCTACAGTGGCAAATGAACCTCAATCTGGAAAGGCAACAATAAATAAATTACATCTTTAGAGTTGTCCCTTGTATTTGTAATAAGTAAAAGCAACAATGATTTCAATAACTTACCAGAAGTGATAAATAATAATGAATTGATAATCACATTTTACTTTCACTCAAGCAAGTGCCAGTCTCTGTGTTCACTCTTTCTCAATTATCTGCCTCAATCAGACTTGACTTTAACTTACCTGTTAATCTGTGTGTTTCTGTTTGCCCAGAAAAGTCATTGCACAGAATTTTATGGGTCAGTTTTTAGAACTAGTTCATGGTTCTTTTTCTCCTAGGGTGCCCACAGGCAATCCTCAAAGACCCATATGTGACCTCACCTCCTGTTACCATCACGCTGCAGAAGATCAATCCCTGTTTGATGGAGCTCTGCAGGTTTTTTCAGTTGTGCCTCTGCGTTGGCCAAAGAAGACATTCCATAAAGGATGCTATGAGGTAAAATCTAGCAGCAGTTTCACTTGCTTCTGTCTTCTTAAAATACTCCATGGTACATTTTCCAGTGACAGCTTTCAGTCATCAGTGACGTGAGTCCCTAGAATCATAGAATCTTTAGGGTTAGAAAAGACCACAGAAAATCATCTAGTGCGACCACCAACCCATCCCCACCAGGCTCACTAAACCACGTCCCCCTTTGCCACATCTACACATTTCTTGAACATCTCCAGGGATGGTAACTCCACCACTTCCCTGGGCAGCCTGTTCCAATGCCTCATCACTCCTTCCAAGGACAAATTTTTCCATGGCTACTCGCTGAGTCCCACATGGAGCCTCAGGGCATTGATCTGGTTTTCACCAGTCAGTGAATAGAGCTTAACTGAATCCTCCCAAGCATCTAATGGCATAGGTTAGAGGTTAGAATATGGATTTTTATTTCTATATTCAAAGAGCAATATTACCAGCATGATGTACATAGAGCTATGTTTATGAAAGACAACTAAATAGCACTCTTCTAATTTTACTACTTTAGGTACTGTGTTGAATACTATTCCTGGTTTTTGAAAAATGCGAGTTATGTCTGTGAAAGAGTCAAAAGAGTTGCTTACTCCCACAGTAAGTATAACAAAAAGTCTTAGACACCCACAGAGTATTTGATTGCTCTTCAAAGTGTTATCTGATGAAGATTTTTAAGATAACTAAAAGAAAAAAACAAAAAAACAGACTTATATAACCATGTATGTTTTTTATATTCTCCTTGTAAAACCTGTTCTGACTGCGTTATTCTTTTTTCTTCCAGCATTAAAACAGAAATGCCTTAAGAACATCTGTAAATCAATCTAGCACTGAGGAATTTTACTGCAGTTTGGGGAACAGTGGCAGTTTTAGTAGTCTTTTTCACTTCAGTGTAAGATCAGATTGACGTAGATTATTTGCAAATATGTGTAACAAGACAAGTTATTAACCAGATATTAACATAGAAATCTGTCTTCCTCCAAAGCAATGTGAAAATGGTGTGTAAAAACAGATGCATTTTATACGTGTTGTACCTGCAATAAAATAAATAAATAAATAAATAAATAAATAAAACATTGGAAGGCTTTATAAAATTGATTTTTATAAGGATTTTTATATGATGCATGTAATAACTTTTGCTACAATAGTACCCAATTAACATAATGTAATCAAAGTGAACAAATATGGAAAATTGAAAAACTACCTGAAGTACTGAAATATTTCTGGAAGTCCCGTTTCCAAATCAAGTGTCTCCCATTACTTTAGTAACTCATTTAGTGCAGAGCTCTACTAAGGAGATATTCACATCCCACTTTGTGACACATCTGTGTGAGCTTAAATGTATCTTACTTATTTGTATCTCCATTGAACTAGAAGACAATTCTAAAAAATGAAGCAACAATCAAACAAATTGCACAATCCTATATTCTGCTACACTGCAGCAACACGATTCAGTCAACTCTAAGTAAATGATCAAGCCATTAAAACTTCCAACAAGAGTATTTGCAGTGCAGATGCTATGCATTGGTGTTTCAATGAAGTATCTGTGTGTTCAAAGTATGAGCATGTTATTTGTTACAATCATTCTTAGCATTACATTTTTGGGAACTGAAGAAGGACGTGCAAAGATGAACATAAGGAAGGAAGGAGAAAATTATTTTGACTTCCTGTTTTCAGGTTTTTATTGAAGGAATGTATCAAAAGAAAAATATTTTCATAAAAAGCCTCCCTTCGGAAAAGTTTTTTTTCTATTTTTATGTTTGGCTTGTATTTGTTCTCCATGCTATTGGAGGCTTTTGCGTCTGTAAGAAATAATTAGCTTCTTCTTCTCCTGAAGAAATGTGAGTCCTGGGACAGTGCCAACTTCCGTAATATGCTAAACCTGAATCATGTCTGACAATGTGTGTAGGTCACAGCTATCTCCATTTTAAGGTCCTGGAAAGGATTGAGAACTAATATGTTGTGTTCATGGGGAGAGAATTGGCAGGTGCCACATAGCAGTGTGTGTCTTGTGAAAAGAGCTTATATCACATATCCTGAAGGACAACTTTCTTGTCACAATTGTTCAAGACTTACTGCTTGATTTGCCCACTAGAAAAATAAAAAATAATGGTTGAAAAAAAAGGAAAAACAAACAAGCAAACAAACAAAAAACACTAAATAAAACAAAGAATAAAAACCAAGGCTTAATGAAAGAAAAGAGAGGAAGGAAGGAAGGAAGGAAGGAAGGAAGGAAGGAAGGAAGGAAGGAAGGAAGGAAGGAAGGAAGGAGGGAGCACATTAGGAGCTCTTAGGAAAAAATAATTTAAAAAAATCCATATAATCAGGCCTTCAGTGCTACAAAGCCTCAGTGCATAGCTTTGACAGAAATCTATGCATTATGGTGACATGTGGATAAATCACCATCCACACTGACTGGGACCTGTTTTGTCATCAGTTTCTACCTCTGCCTTCTGCTGACATTCAGGACAGATGAACTGACCTTCACCAAAATCACATATCTGAGACAAACAATTCAGCTCCACTGATGGCATCCTTGAAAGGCATGTGTGTCTGAACTTGGCAGAAAGCACATCTACCTGAGGAAGGAAAGCCTGCTCCAAAGATCATGGACTCACCCTTACCCTGTATTTCATTCAGCTTTGGATCGGAGCCACTGTGGATAGACAAGAGCAGACTTCTCAACCCTAAGGAATGTCAGTGTTTAGAGCTGTATAAATTTTCACTCATCTTTCATCACTGAACACCACCTCTTACCAAGCTATTAAAGCCATATTCACAAGCCCCAGAGATTTTGTGATTAATAACAGTGAAATGATTGTTATTTAATTACAGCCGCAGAGTATTAGGGCAAGTTACTATACAGTGAGTGCACCTGCAGAAAAGACCTCTCAGTATAGATCCTTTACATGACTGGAGCTATATTACTCTTCTGGCATTATTAATCTCAGGAACTTCACTGAAGGATTAATTAATAAATGTTGAAGTGGGTTTGATAAGAGGACTGATCACATGGGTGAGGTATATACTCAGTGGGTATAAATCACTTAGTACTAACTTTGCTGAAATCCATTTGTTTTACATGCAACTGCTTCTGAATAATATCCCTCAAGGTAAGTTTTTCTAGATGTACTCTATAATACAGGAATAAGGAAGAAAATGTAGGGAAAAGTTATTCAGGATAGCAGAGCAGTAGACTGAAGTACAAGTATGAAGTTTCAGATAATGGAGTATAAATATTTATGGCTGTTATATTTCTAACTTCAGTTTTTGATGAAATATTACAAGATTTTTAAATGACCTTACACCTGAGGAAGAAGATAATCAACAGCAGGTACGTGTTTGAAAGTTGATAAGTAACTGCATATTTTTTTAGCTGTAGAAAACAAACTCTGTGCTTGATTTAGGAAATTGTTTTAAATTAGAATAAACTGTAATGGCGGTTCAAAATCTCTCTGAATATTAGCACTGAGCTTTGGCTTCAGAATAATTCCTTACACACATTTTTATAATGTCAAATGCATCCAAAATTTGAAGATTTCCATGCAGCACAGTATTTGATTGGGAAAATATATGATGCTTTAGATCAGTATCAAGACCTATCAGAGTAAATGTGTGACTACAAAGTGATTTATATGCTGTGAAGTTAACTAAGACATGCAGCTGTAGACTAGCTGGATTCAGTAGAAGTAATTCCAGAATGTTAGTTAGTTTATAACAACTGTTAGATCAAGTAAGCCATGAAAATTGCAAAATAAAAAACTTTCATTGTTAAATGGACTTGCCCTGTCTATGGCAATTTGAGGAGCCTATTGACCTAAATCAGTACTGAAGTAAATATTTTTAATATTTTTAATCAGGCTCATAGAGGAGTTTGATAATGTGTGGAGCATATATAAGACCAATTTTTGATGTATTATGTGCACTTACAAGAGAAAAAAAATGTGCTGCATTAGGCACATGTATGGCCAGGCTAGAAGAGAAGGATTTTCTAACTTAATGGCATCCTACACTCATAACATTTTGCCCAATATTTTACTTAACTCACCAGGCACACCAGTCTGCTGCGTAAATTTTTCTTGCACTTGGTCAAATAAAAAATGATTGGAATTCTTCTGATGTCTATGTTCATGGTGTTGCACAGTGGTAAGTCATCATTTATTTTTACGATTATTTTGCATTTATGACAAATACTGTTTTAAGTATATGCATTTGGAAATATAGCTCTGGAAATGCACACCTACCCCTTCCTTGTTGTTCAGCACTCAAATGTACCAGAATAATTAGCAATGGAGCAGTTATAAAACATTTTTTTTCCTCAGGACATGTAGTGAAGGAAGAAACTCAATCAAGAAACAAAATTTAGTGGGGCTAATAAGTATAAACAAAAAAAAAAAATCCATCTTAACTTCTGCTTACATTTGGTCATCACCTGAGCTCCTTAGAATCCCAAAAATTGCAGAAATATATATTCTACTCATGAAAGAACTGTATTACATAAATTCTCCAAACCATTAAGTAGGTCCTTGCATTCAGCTAAAGTTTTCTTTGAATTTTTATTTAGACTATATTCTTTTTTTAATTTTTTTTCTGCATGTAACTGTTTACATTTAGTTGTCCTATGATGAATGAGATTTCAATGATCCAGTGACAGGGGCAGGCAACATTTCAGATTTCCCTACACTGTATGTGGAAGTCATAATGAGTAACGATGTGCCATTGAAGAGAAGTATTTTTAGAGCATTCCTGGTTGTTCCATGAGGTTATTTTTGAAGTGAAAAGAAGGTTGAACATCTTGGCATACACAAAATTCTGCACTGACCTACTCCATGCCATTTCATCTCTTATAAAGAATCACATGCATTGCTAGCCAGTAAATAGTCTAATACAAGATACATTTGGAAATTATATTAATGAAACTGAGCATTGAATCTCCTAACATATGGACAGAAATCAGTAAGGATATCAGCATATTCCCACTTCACTGATAGGGAATGCCAAGGCAGCAATATATATTGATAATAACCAGTATACTCAGAAATATCTGTATACTCAGAGATTTTTTTTGATATAGCAAAGACATTTTCTCCCAAGGCTTTTTGGATACGCCACAGGTTTTTTAATGCTTTCCTCCATCTGAGCACAGTCAAAGCATAAAGATTTTAAATGCTGCCCTAGGCCAGCTGGGGCTTCAGGAAGCATTATTGATTTAGACTTATGTGGGAACCACTTTGCTCATCTTTACTTTGAGACTGAAACAAACAGTAGCACGCAAACAACTATCTACATGAGGAGCTAATGGGATTTCCCTTGAAGATATCAAATAGGTTGGATTTGTTCTGACATTTCCTAAGACAGTCAATGTTTGTGCTCCCCAGATATTATAATTACTGCATTCATGCCCTATATAATGGCATTTTAATTAGACATGACTGCAAAAACGATCAGAGACATGGTTATTTTTTTTATGAGCTTTGTTGGGATAACACTTATGAAAAGCATTCTCAGCATAGCAACATTGCAGACACAGCCCTTGCATCTAAATAGTGAAAAAATTCTGACACAGCTGGAAATCCCAAGGGCCGATGTACCACACAAGTCTCCTCAGGACACATGCCAAGGAATTTAGCAGGTTGTAGAGAGAGGTGAGTGAAGCTGACTCTCAGGGTGTTCTGCAATTTAAAAGGCTGATTTTTGTAGCACAGTTTTTTACTGGCTAGGCAGGGAATGAGGCAGGAACATTAGGCCCCAGAAAGCGTGATAGAAAAATAATAAGAAAGAATTATTGATTCAGAAAGTATTTTCTTACTGTCCCTACATCAAAATTT